GGGATGAGTGAGGGGATGCCCCTCATGCCTGCTGCTGGCCCCCATGCCCCGCCCCCAACAGCTTCATCTGGAGGAGGTGGGAGGACCTGTGTGTGGGAGACGTGGTGTGCTTGCGCAAGGACAGCATTGTCCCGGTGAGTGAGCCTTGGGAGGGCCCCCACCCCAGGGGGGAGGGACCACCTCCCCGGCCCCAGCTGTGATGGACCCCTCCTTTCCTCCAATTGCCCCCTACGCCCCCCTCACCACCCCCTCCCCCCAGGCCGACATGCTCCTGCTGTCCAGCACTGAGCCCAGTAGCTTGTGCTACGTGGAGACAGCGGACATTGACGGGTAAGAGGGGCCTGGGAGCTTGGCACCCCTTCCCTGGTTGCCAATCTGGTCATTCCCCCCACCACCCACAAGCACTCGGGGGCCTGCAAGATGCCGGGGTCCAGCCCCACCCCAAGGCCCCTCGGGAGAAAGGTCTGTTTGTGGGCATCCGGAGGGGTGGAGGGGTGGCCCCCCCAGATCCAATGCCCGGCCAGAAGCGCTCCCACCGAGCGTCCCACGTGTCTGTCCCCCGAAACGGGCACAACCACAGAGACAGGAAGTGGAGGGCGTGGGGTCTCCTTTGGGGCCGTCCGGAAGGCTTTGGGAGCAGGAGGCTGAGGGACACAGCAAAGGGGCGTTCCCCGGGCCAACCAGCCCTCACAGTGGCTACGGCAGCCACGTTGGCTGCTGCTGCTACCCCGGAGGGTGGGTGGGTGGGTGAGGGCATAGAGAATTTCCTCAAAGTGTCTGCAGTCTTTTCATCCCGTTTTTGAAGCCCCCTCCTGTAGCTTACCACCCCAAACTAAAATGATGCCAACAAAAGGCCGGGCGGGGGTGGTGGGGGGTGGCACTAACATAGGAGAGAGGGCCTGTGCACCCTCCCTGCACAGATATTGCTAGGGACTCCGTGGTGCCCTCGTGGGCGCTGGCTGGTGAGTCACAGGTGTGGGCTGACAACGCTTGGGGGGGTCCCCTGCTGGGGGGCAGGGTCCAGTCCATGGTCACCTGCTCCCCCATCCTCGTTGTCAGGGAGACCAACCTGAAGTTCAGACAGGCGGTGGCAGCCACCCACCACGAGCTGAGGAGCATACGAAGGATGTCGAACTTCCAAGGTGAGTGGGCCAGGAGGGGGCCCTCCCCTCCCCCAATCCCCCCCCCCTATGCCGCCTCTACCCTCTCCTTTGCCTAAGGGGCCTGGGAAACCCCGGCCCCTTGGAGGGTTTTGGTAACGGGGAGCGCTCACCTCAGCTGCCGACCGACTGCAGGGCCGGTGGTTCCTTCCCACCCACCAGGTCCACTTCAGGAAAGGTGGCCACCAGAAACCCCTGTGCAACCCCATCTCACCCCCACCCCGCCCGCTGTCTCTGCCCCCAGGAGGTCACCTGGAGTCTGGGGGCCGACCGACCTGATGGCTGTTTGCAGCAGCGAGAGCAGTGGCCCTGGCCCTCGTGGCTGCAGGGAGGGAGGGTGGTGGTGCGGCCCATGACTGTGTTCCGGCAGACACCCAATCAGCGGTCAGGCCCTGTCCCCGTCGCTCACCAACTCCTGGGACTCCCTCCCTCCTCACACGCTTACGGTGCACTAGGAGGAGTTAGGTGGGGGGGCGTGGGGGCCCCATCTGCTTGGAGGGCCTGGGTGGGCTTCCTGGGCCAGTGTGAGACGCAGGGGGAACAGCATTCAGGGAGGCCCCGAGGCTGAAGGACAGAAAAATCTCAGAGAAGATGCCATGGCGGGGTTGGAGGTGTGGGGGACAGTGCGTGTGTGTGTGTGGGGGGGGTGCCCAAGGGTGACGGGTGCATGCCCCCTAAGTCGGAGGTGGGTGGGAGCCCAGTCACACTGTGGGCTGCTGAGCACGGGCCTCCCCCAGGGAAGGTGGTGTGTGAGAAACCCAACGGCCGCATGCACCACTTCGTGGGCAGCCTGGACTGGAGAGGCAAGAAGTACCCGCTGGACAGCGGCAACATCCTCCTGCGTGGCTGCAAGATCCGCAACACGGATACCTGCTACGGACTCGTCATCTACGCGGGTATGGCCGCCGCCGCGGGCACTGGCACGAGGGCTGGTGGGATTGGGCCCCAGGGGTGGGGGGCACGGGTGAGAAGTCATGGGGCCAGGCCTGGGCAACACAGGCATCTGGCTTGGTTTCTCTGGATCCCGGTCTCTGGGACTGTGGAAAGGGCCACGCTGAGGCAGCACCCTTGATTTGGGTGGGAAAAGCAGGTGGGTGGAGTGCAGGGGGGATGTGTTGTACAAAGATCAGAATTTGAGGGACACATGGTGGGATAGGCAGGTGGGAGGGTGGGTGGATGTTAAATAGATAGATGTGTGGATAGATGGGTGAATAGATGACCAAATGGATGGATAGGTGGGTCTTTGAGTCGATGGATGGATGAATATGGAGTGGATAGGTGCGCTGATGGATGGGTGGATGCATAGTTGAAGAGATGAATGAATGAATGGATCACTAGGTGGGTGTATGAATAGAGAGATGGGTGCGTGGGTGGATGAATACATGGGTGAATGTATGGATGCACAGGCACAATTGTGAGGATGGCGCAGCAGACAGGGTTTTGTTCTGTTGTGCACAGGGTCACTATGGGTCGGAACCGCCTAACAACATCTGTGAATGGGTTTGTGGACGGATGTTTGCACAGATGGGTGTATGGATAGATGGGTGGGTGGTAGGTGGATGGATGGATGGATAGGTATTTGAATAGATGGGTGTATGGATAGATGGGTGGGTGGGTGGTAGGTGGATGGATGGATGCTTGCATAGATGCGTGTATGGATAGATGGGTGGTGGTGGTGGTAGGTGATGATGGATAGGTATTTGAATAGATGGTAGGTGGATGGATGGATGGATTTTTGCATAGATGGGTGTATGCATAGATGGGTGAGGGGTGGTAGGTAGGTGGATGGATGGGTGAGTGGGTGGAAGAAGAACAGATGACTGGTTGTAAGAATACATGGATGACTGGGGTGATAATTGCCCAACTCTTCTTGATATGATTGGATTGTTGAATTGTATGGCATGTGGACGAAGTGCTAATAAAACTGTTAAAAAGAATACCTGGATGGATGGATGGATGGATGGATGGATGGATGGATGGATGGATGGATGGATGGACGGATGGATGGACGGAAGGATGGGTGAGCAGAAAGATGGATGGAAGGAAGGTGGACACACGCATAGAAGGATGGGTGGGCAGACAGGTGGATGGGTGGGCAGGTGGATGGCTCTCTCTGAGTATAAAGAATTAGGTCCTCTCCTAGCTCTGCCTCTTTAACGAGGGAAGTAGGCATGCTGCCCGCACTGGGTGGAGCAACCAGAAAAAAGGAATAGGGGGTTGGGGTGGGGAGACTGGCCAAGTTCCCTGAGCGCTGGGGCATCCAGGGGGAGGCAGCCCATGCCCAAACCGTGCCCAGGTGTCCCCGGGGTTCCATCAGCACCACTGATGCCTGGCCGGGTCCGCAGGTTTCGACACAAAGATCATGAGGAACTGTGGCAAGATCCACCCGAAGAGAACGAAGCTGGACCGCCTGATGAACAGGCTGGTGGTCCTGGTGAGTGGGGGTGGGGTGGGGTGAGCTTCCTGGGGGCTGGGGGTTGGTGGGCTCTGCATGGCCCTACCTCGCGGACAGGACCCCGAGACTCTCAAATTCCCCACATTCTCCGTTCGCACAATTCATCCCGATCCTGGCGTTTTCCGGACATTCTCCAAGTAACCTCGGGCAAAAGTCGGACCACGCTCCCACGCCTGCCCAAGAGGTCTGGCCAGTGCAGGCGTGGCCCTCATCCATCCATCCATCCATCCTTTCATCCATCCATCCATCCATCCATCCATCCATCTATCCATCTGTCTGTCCACCCGCCTGCTGGTCCCGGACAGAGAGAGACTGGGAAGAAAGGCCTGGCTGTCTACTTGCACAAATAAGGCAGCGGGAACCCCACGGGTCCCGGTGGGCCCATCTGCCACGGGCCTCAGTGGGAGCCCAGTGCAGGGAGCCTGCCGAGTGCGCTGCTCTCTTTCAAACTCTTGAACTTCATAGATGCTGTGGTCAGCGGCCGTTGGGTCGCTTCTGACCCACAGAGACCCGAGACACCGCAGAAGGAAACGCCGCCCGGCCCTGCGCCGAGCTCGTGAGATTCCTATGCCCGAGCCCCTTGTGGCAGCCACTGTGCCTGTCCACCTCGTCGGACGGTCTTCCTCTCTCCCTGCCCCTCCGCTTGACCAGGCCCGATGCCCCTCTCCAGGGCCTGGCCTCTCCTGACAACGTGCCCAAAGTCCACGAGCCAAAGACGCCATCATCACGGCTAACACCCACGCTGGCCATACTTCTTCCAAGACAGATCTGTTTGTCCTCTTAGCCTCCATGGTGCTTTCAAGAGTCCTCTTCAGCACCGCTTTCAGATGCGTGGCTGCTCTTCTGTCTTCCTTATTCAATGTCCAGCTTTAACATGCACACGAGGCGATTGAAAATACCACGTCA